TCTCTTCTCTCTCACACACACACCCATCACTTTTCTTTTTCCTTTTTCCTGTGGAGGTTGTTCAAGCTCTGTTGTTATGACAACTTAGCCCCTTCTCCCGGCCTTTTCTCCTCAGCTACCTGCGAGACAAAGGGTGACAAAGCGTTCAGCTAAATTTCCCTCTTTACATGTGTGACAAAAACCAACAAACAAACCCACAACACCATCCCCACCCACTGAAAACTTTTGACTCCTTCACACACACATACCTCACATGCACACAAAGATGGTTTCTTCTTAGTGCTTGATACTCTGAAGCATAATTGAAAGCCCTCAGCTTTTGTAAGGGACCAATGAAGGCTTCTTGAATAGAAGGTACTTCCTGCAAAGTGCTTATATTCTTATCTATAAAGAGTGAGTTAAGGTAAGGGACAATTGCCAGGCAGCTGCTTTGTAAAGAAGAAAGAAGGCAAGTGTAGAAGATTTCCAAATAAGTTTGGAAGGGGGCATAATAGACATGCCAGGGAGGTAAATGGGTTTAAGATAAGGTTCTGCATGTCAGGTTAGACCCATGGAGAGAGAAATTCAAGGTGCTCTTCTCCTGTTTCCTGGTGGCAGAAATCACAGGATCATAGATCTATACCAAGTGCAATTGACATTTCTTCAATAATAGTGAGGTAGACTCTGAACCAAGTGCTTCACTGGTGTTCTTCAGAATAATAAGAAGTGGACAAAAAGGCATAGTTGAGTGGTAGAACATCTGTTTTGCATGCAGAAGGTCCCAGTTTCAATCCTCAGCATCTTTTGTTTAAGTTAGTTTTTATTGAAGTTTTTCTTGTGTTACAAAATAAACAAAGGAAAGTACATATGTCATCTCCACTTTTGATTCACAGAGTCTTTTTCACAGTTCGTTAATGTTCAGTATGATACACTAATGTCATGGACATCTTACGGTTGGGGAAAGAGAAGGGAGAAAGAAAAAGAGTGAGGAAGAGATGGGGTATTGTTCTATTAATTCCCGGCATCTTCAGGTAGAAGTGGAATGAGACCCCCTGCCTGAAACCCTGGAGACCATCTGCCAATTGTCTGATTCAGTGTGAGGCAGCACCCTTTGTTCCAGATTGCAAAGGTTGGCAGTCAGCCACCTTTGGTGCCATCACAGATGTACAGGCACAAACACAGACCCTATCCGTTGATCAATAAAGATGGCATCACCAAAACACATGCAGTTTCAACAGTGTTATATTCAGGCACAGTAATCCCAGCTGCACAGAGCCCCCTTAAGGAGAACCTAGTCTGCATACTCTCCTCTCCCACTGGACTATGAAAAGTCCCTGTTGCAAGTCTGGATTAAGAGCCCTACCCAGAGTTTTGTATAGAGTCCTATTCTCAGGCTGGGTAAGATTAGAGATGGGCTGACTCACTTCTGATTGACCGTAGAAATAGCTTGGTACATTTTTTAAACCAATCTGAGGTTCATAAATCATCTGGCCAGAGTCCCCAAGACTCTCCCACTTTTTAATTTCAATATAGTGTGCCCTTATGGGGCAGAAGAAATGGCAAGAGGTCATACAGAAGAAACAGATCTACTGATGATGCTATTTCCATCGCTGTCCATACTGTATTGAGTCATCTAGAACGACAGGGAACCTACGCAAGGCTGTTGATTTGGACTACAGTTCTGCCTTTAATACAATTCTGCCAGACAGGTTATTTCTTAAAATGACCAATTTGGGTATACATCAGAAGATCTGTCTGTGGGTAAGGAATTTCCTGACTGATAGGCCGCAGACAGTGAGAATGGGACCTTACTATTCTTCTACTCTAGTATTAAGCACAGGAGCCCCTCAGGGATGTGTGCTAAGTCCCTTTCTCTATTCCCTGTACACATTTGATTGCACCCCACTGTATAAGTCCAACACAATCATCAAATTTGCGGATGATACAACAGTGGTGGGGCTCATTAGTGAGAACGATGAGACTGCTTATAGGAAAGAAGTACAGGGGTTAATTCAATGGTGTAAAGAAAACAATCTTATGCTTAACACCAAAAAAACCAAAGAACTCAAAATTGACTTTAGGAGAAAGAAAAGTGTATTTTTACCATTGCACATAAATGGCAAGGAGGTGGAGAGGGTTGGTAGTTTTAAATACCTGGGCATTTATATCTCTGAGGACCTCTCATGGACTGCAAATATTAATATGGTTGTGAGGAAGGTGCAGGGGAGGTTGTATTTCCTGAGAATGCTCAGGGGACTGAATCTATCTCAGCACCTACTTCTGTCCTATTATCACAGTACCATCGAGAGTGTCTTAACCTATAGTATATTATCGTGGTATGGGAGCAGCTCTGAAACGGATAAAAAAGCTTTACAGAGAATAATTAAAATTGCCCAGAATGTTATTGGGCTCCAACTACCAACCCTGGATGAGATCTTCACGTCTCGCACTTTGAAGAAGTCACACAATATCCTGAGAGATCCCACCCATCCTGCTCACAACTTCTTTGAACTGTTGCCTTCGGGCAGAAGATATAGGACAATGAAAACACGAACCACACGCCTTCTGAATAGTTTCTATCCAAGAGCTCTGATTGCACTAAATAATGATCTCAGGGCCAGTTGCAAGGAATAGCAAGCAGGGAGTAGGAAGGAATGAGATAGGTTTTGGGTTATGTTGTGCCTTTGATGGGTTGTGTTATATTCTGGATTATGTTATGTTTTTATAGATTGTGTCTGAATAGGATGAGAGTGTTGGAGATACGTGCAAATGTGTGTGTGAACCCGGTCTTTGGGTGGGTGTTTGATTTTCGTTGTTGTGTATACTGTGTATATACGGACAATGACAATAAATTTATCTATCTATATATCTATCTATATTGCCCTTGTTCCCTTTCATATTGCATTTGATGTGTTGCCACTTAACTTGGGTACGGTGTTGGAAAACAGGTTGGGAGATTGGGGGGCTGGGTTGGTTGGAGGAATCTTGAGAATGATGATGATTTATTAGACTTGTTAGTCATTTGCTCCACAGAGGTCCCACCATGTTTAAAAACAGAAATGCATTATAATTTTAATACTTTCATTCAAAAACACAAGTAACTGGCATTTCCATCGATTGCCATTTGTTCCAGTTTAACATTGAATAGTGGGGTTTCTGTGGGGGGACAGACGCTCAGACCTGTGCCTAGAAAGCCTAAAGGGGCTTGCAAAGCTCATGCCTTTCTATGAGTTTTTATAAGCCCTTGAGTTTGTATTGAATCTAAAGCTTGGAGAACTCCACTGACATTCCTAGTTAAGATACAAATACCTGTGAGGCACCTGAATTAAAAGTGCAGCAGTCAACAAGGGGCGCCATCTTTAAGCATGGCCTGCACACAACACTGACATTGTGTCAAAATATTTTTGCAGAGGGTGCAAAGATACCTGCAGAAACCCTGGAAATCGTAGGGTTTCCCATGTCACCATTTGAAAAGCTCTGTTCTAGAGATATAATACACAGAGAGAAAGGAATCAGAAGGGAAAGGATGTGGGAGCTCTTGGGTGACTTCTCAAGAAGTCACCACCTCACACTCTCAGGAGCTGTGTCCTTGCGAAGGAGGGATTTGGTCTGAAACCTCAGCAGCATCTACGATTTTTCTGTTAGAGAGATGTCATCATCCCTATTATGAGAAAGGGCAGAGAAGGCCGGATATCTTAATAGGGAAAATTGAGAGTAACTCTCTGGAGTCTTGGCTCTCTGTACCATCCTCAAGCCACTACATTATGCATTCATGGTTTTTTAAATATAATAAAAAGGCTGAAAGTAACCATTATGATAATGTCCAGGTCTCTTGACAACGCAGAACCGTAGTCTTTTCTTCAAGGATTTCTCAATAATGTATGCTGAGAATGCAATAACTTTTTTTCCCAGAAAGATTTGAAATAACACAGAGGCCGCCATGTCCCTGTATAAAGTATTCTGACTTCATTACTTTTGTTTTCAATTTGGCTTTGTTTCCTCTTGAAGAGATGTGGACAATTATGAGCAATCGGTAGAGAAGTACTATGATGCCCGGTAGTTTCACTTAATTAAATTGTTACAGCAGGCAAAGAGGTTGACCACTAGGGATGGAGGAGAAATTTCATTTAAAAGATGAATCTATCAAATCCACACCTTCCAAAACAAAACGTGAACCAAATCACAGCTATCCTTCAAAAATGGCACTTATCTGAATTTTGCAATGAGTGTTCCAATCAAGCTGTGTTTACAAAACTGCATTTGCTGGGGCAAATTGCTTGTAAAATTGTGTACATTGGTCAAAACTGTACATAAATACGTGTCTGTTAGGGGGGAAATAGCACTAAATTTGTGATTCACCATATCTTAAGCAAAAAAACAAATACATACATTAAAAACAGCATTACGAAAGTGTAACAGACAATGTGTGTGTGTGTGTGTGAGAGAGAGAGAGAGAGAGAGAGAGAGAGAGAGAACATCCATCGATGCAAAAAAGTCATAAATAGCTAAAAGCCAAAGGCCTAATGAAAGAAGAGGGGTTTTGCCTGAGGCCTAAAGATATGTAACAAGGGTGCCAAATGAGCCTCATTAGGGACAGCATTCCACAAGTGGGGTGCCATCGCTGAAAAGTATGTTAGGCGCATCAGAATGCCCATTTTGCTACAGTCTGCTCACATTGTCCTTTCCATCACAGTTTATCTTTCTTTTCACTTATCACAGGGCTGCAGATGGGGAAGGCGTTTGCATCTGCGAATGCTCCCTCGTAGAGAAACACCTTTCCTGAATGTGCTCATAATAGCTCAACAGAACAAGCATCCATGTGGCATAGTGATGTTGGAACAGGGAGAGCCAGGTTCAGATTGCTATTCAGCCATGAATCTCACTAGATGTCCTCGGGCCAATGGCCTGCAGCCTGACCTGCTTTGTTTACTCGAGGTTACCAGTAACTCTTTCTTCTCTCTCTCTCTCTCTCTCTCTCTCTCTCTCTCTCTCTCTCTCTCCTGCTGGCTGACTTCCCCCAGTGTGCCAGATCCTTCCAAAAGGGGTGGTTGGTGTTCTGGGACCATCTTCAAGTCCTGCTTCCAGCTCCATCATCAGCAATATCTGCGGAGAGAAAGAGGTGAGTGGTGTGAATCTTGCTCTCAGTACTGCAGCTTATGGACAGAGGTTTGCAATGCCTACATGCAGCCAAGCAACTGGAGATTAAGGGACAGGTCACAGCTCAGTTGGTAGCACACTTATTTCGCATGCAGGAGTTCTCGGATCAATATTTGTTTATCTTACAGTAATCTACAGCACTCTCTCTCAAGCATCGTTCTTTAACCCTGGGTCCCTAGGTGCTGTCAGGCTACGAATTCTAAGATCCCTGACATTTGGCAAAGCCATCTGGGGACCCAAGGTAGAAGGATGCTGCTCTGAAGGGTCAGATAGCCAGGGAGGGAGGGGGGACCTCTCTGCCTGAGAACTTGGAAAGCCACTGCCAGACAATTTGCACAGTACCAGGCAGAATCGACCCATTCTGATTCTTCACTCCAAACTGGCTTTGCAGATTAACACGTATTCACCCCCCTTTTTGACGTGATGGCCTTGAAGGGGAGGGGAGGGTTTTTTTGTCACTGGTGGAAAAGATCACAAAAAGCTGGTCCCCAGATGCTGGTTTTCAGTGCATAGCAAAAATAAATCCATGTCTGATCTCCTGGCAATTATGTTAGCGCTTATGCGACTACACCTCCCCCTCCTTCTATCCTCAGTACTCCGTTCCTCTTTTTTTTTGGAGTCTTACATCTAATACAAAATCCTCATGGTAGGTTTCCAACCGGTGCACTTGATTTAATGTTGGATAAGCCCCACACTCCCTGTGCTGACCAATCCCCATTCCCAGGGAACAGAACGGAGCTCTCATAATTCACCCGCTTAACTCCTAGTCGCATCTCTCTGCCATTTAGTGGACTCTGAAACGTGTCCCTTGCCACAAGGCTTTGGGAGTGATGGAAAGTCAACATGTCAATAGGAGGCATTCGCAAATAAATTGCAGTAATTCGCTGCCTTCGAGTTGCATGAGTCAGGAGGTGTGAGAGCTTTCTGTAGCCCAACCTTTCTCCAAAGTTTTTAAGTTGTGTAATGGATGCAGTTCTGCCTAACCTCAGCAAGGGCAGTGTAGATGCCAGAGAGGCATGTAAAAAGTACAAAACATGGCCACAGAATTCACTTTCCAGCTTCCGTGCTTCTAAAAAGCAAGTTACTGTCCTTTATTGTGGTTGTGCCCAGACCATATATTTAAAGCACATGATATCCCCCAGAGAATATTGGGGAATGTAGTTTAACCCCACAGAGTTACAGTTCCCATGATTCTTTGAGGGAAGCCATGTTCTTTATAAATGGATGGTATGTACAATGCCATAAAGACAAATAATTAAATAAAATCATTTTTGTCTCACCCTTCCTCCCTAAGAAGATCAGAACTGAATAAATTAAAAAGAGCCCATATAAATTGCAGCATGGCATCCAAAATACCTAGGAGAGCTTAAAAGCCTGGTTTTTTAAAAAATTAAAAAAGCAGCAAGGGAGCCATACAAATTTCCTGCGGGTGGGAGTGCCAGAAGCCCAGGGGTCAATACAGAAAAGTTGCTGTCATGTTTGGCAACCCTACAAATACCTGAGAGGACAGCAAGATGGGTGCCTTGTGGAAGATCTTGATTCTCAGGCAGGGATATGTGAACAAAAGTCATCCTTTGGGTGACCTGGACCCAAACTGTTCAGGGCTTTATAGATTAAAAACAACACTTTGAGCTGTATTTGGAAAGGAATAGGTGGGCAGTGGGGTTGGGGAGGGGGATAACATGAACCTTGCATCACACCTTCATGAGGGTGACACAAAAAAAAGCTTGAAGTCTTCCCCATCTCGGCTCACTGGGGTATTTTCTTTCAAGTCACTTTGTTAAAATTCATATGTGCTTCAGTGTCTATTTTCAAAAACATCCTTAGTTTCCTTTCACCAGGGTTAGCCCAAGACGTGTTGGCACCTGAGGTGAACCACAAAATGGCACCCACACACATCAGGGAAGAAAGATCTACATCAGGAAAAGGGGGGCGGGCATAAATATATACATTTGGATCTACTGCCCCTATGGATCTTGCCACCTGAGGCAGCCGCCTCACCTTACCTCATGTGTGGGCTGGCAATGCCTCTACCTATTCTCCATGTTATCCTTACCAGGTGCACCTATCACCTTTTGATGCCCTTATTAGAGGCTAGAAAAATATCTGTCATTATAATGGGCCTATAAAGAAACAAGGGAAGAGACGTCAACCATATTTGGAGGTTATTTAGTCCTCTGTTCTTGAAACTTTGCACCAGTCATGTCCCACAGAGCAAATTTTGAGCTGGAACATTGGTTAGTGGGAGTGTACTTTCCTGGTCGAGTCTCTGACACCTTCAGTTAAAAAGGGGTCTAAGGCAGTAGAGCTAGAAACTTCCTGGCCCGAGTTGGCACTTCTGGGCTAAGAGCTCCAATGGTCTGATGACCCAGAACCATGTTTCCTAATCCATTTCCAACAGCACAGCAGCTAATTTGCAGAATCTGCCATATCTTTGGTTCAATAAAGGGACTTTCAGAAGGTCAGAACTTATGAGATCAGCCTGTAGCTTGGAGCTTTAAAAGAATTTGGCACCCATTGCAAAGGAAGCTGGTTTTCAGTTCCATTGAGACCATGGGATTACGTCAATTTGCTGTCTCTCTCAAGACAGCCATTTGAAAAAAACATCTAGACTTTGATAGGACAGAGAGGCAAATCTCCTCAATGCTTCCTAAATGGTTGATGTGAAAGGTTTCACAGCAATTTATTTGAGTGAGAGAGTTGTGTTTTTTTAAAAAAAAGAAGCTGTTGAAATTAGAAATACATTAAGGTTTAATATTTAATGATTTTCTTTGTGTCTTTGCTGAAATCTGTGATAGCATCTCTGAAGTCTTCAAAACTGTAGTGCTTTATTCCTTCTCTGTTACATTATATGCGTATTTCTTACGATTATGCTCTGCTACATACCTGGCACTTTATAATCCCTGTTAAATTATATGCATCTCTGGATAGTTTGCTTTGAGGAAACACCGTGAAATGAAAGCTTAGAAGGGCAAGAAACACTCCCTTGTTGGCAACTGTAGTTGGTGCACTGTTGTCTCTGAGCAGAGTCACACAGGGGCATAGCGTCTTTTGCTGACACCCGGGTGTGCTGGTCCCGGGGGAAAGGTTACTGTTATCGTAGTCAAAGTTCAGTCCTGAGTCACTAGCCTGGAAATAGTCCACAAGGTGCGAGGCGAGGTCCGAAGCAGGAAGCCGGGCGGGGACAGGAACACTCGAAGATCAGAAACAGGAAGCCGGGCGGGGAACAGGAACACTGGAAGTTCAGGTCTGGGTCTGGGTAAGAGTAGATACTCAACAACGACGTTGCTCCCGCAACCTGGGACCGGGCTGACTGGCCTTTATCTTCTCTGAGGCCAGGGGAGGTCCCGGCCCCCAGGAGCCCCGCCTCTCCTGGCCTTAAGGCGAGCACTCCTCCTGGGAGAAACCAGTTCCCTTCGCCTCTCTGCCCTCAGCCTCTGCAGTTCAGGAGAGGCTGAAGGGTTACTGGGCCCCGGGGGAGACTCACCTGTAGGCACTGAGTCCTCAACCACCTCTGGAGCCCGAATGGATTCATCTGGTGCCTGCTCCTGAGGATCCGGCACAGGTGCAGGCTCCTCAGCATCAAGGCCTTGCCCCAGTTCAGCCGGCCCTGGAGGCGGGGACTCCTGTGCCGGCTGGGATTCCTCCAGTTCACTCTCTGAATCGGAATCCCAGGCCATCACACCGGGGCTGCAGGCAGAGTGGAGCGTGTTTGCCCAGCTCTCACTGCCCACACTGCTGAGTGGGTGCTCACGCACTGGGCAGGGATGGGTGCAGAGGGTGCTCTTCACTGCTGGAGCCAGGCAAGGCCCGATGCAGGGAGCACCTGGTCCCCCCCCCAATTGTGCTCCGGTCCTGGGGCAATGCCCCCCTTGCTCCCCCATGCTATGCCACTGGAGACACATGACAGATATACTTTAATCCAACAGAGTTTGATCGGGCTCGCTGAGAACAAAGCCATCCCCTTTCCACATAGAACTTCTGCAGTACCATATAGCAAAATGGCCCAAATAATCCTCTGCAGGTGACATGAGATAAATTATGGAGATGCTTCTCATTCAAAGGCCTGTGTGATGATTCTGCTGCTCTGAACACCCACTGTGGGCAGCCTGTTCAGCCCAGACAACCTGCATTCCCCATTGTCACTTGGCTGCCCTCCCACCCTGTTGTTGCCAAAATGCTAGAAAGGGTCATCCCTGCTGCTCACTCACCACTTCTTTCTCTCTTCTTTCTCTGCCTGTATCTATTTCTGTTGCACACTGTGTGTTTGCTGGCTTGCCCCAGTTCAGATTGAGAGCATTCTTCAGTGTCAAAGCGCTGCCATTAGGAGCTCCTCTTTATATTCATCCTCATTTACTTCCTCTCAGTCCATTGATCTTGGCCATTTTTCATTTCTTCAAGCATTCTCAGGTCTTATCCACACTTTTCCCTCAACACATATTTTGATTGCATTGTGTACCAATTAATTCCCCCAGGCCCGAGAGCTTTTCTCCTGCTTCTGCAGCCATGCCTTGCAAAAATCTGATCTTACACCCTGACTTGAAGCAAAATCCCTCCTTGGGATTTCCGCACATCTTCTAAGATCCGATTCAGCGAGTAAGATTGGAGTATTGCAAGGCACAACTGCGGAGCAACAATAAAAGCTCTTTGACCCACCTGTGGGAATTAATTGATACACAATACAATCAAAATGCGGGTCAAGCAAAAGTGTGGACACGCCCACAGTATTTCTGTCATAGTAAAGCGGGTATGTGGGACGCAGGTAGCACTGCGGGTTAAACCACAGAGCCTAGGACTTGCCGATCAGAAGGTCAGCAGTTCGAATCCCCGCGATGGGGTGAACTCCCGTTGCTCAGTCCCAGCTCCTGCCAACCTAGCAGTTCAAAACCACATCAAAGTGCAAGTAGATAAATAGGTACTGCTCCGGCGGGAAGGTAAACGGCGTTTCCATGTGCTGCTCTGGTTTGCCAGAAGCGGCTTAGTCATGCTGGCCACATGACCCGGAAGCTGTACGCCGGCTCCCTCGGCCAATAAAGCGAGATGAGCGCCGCAACCCCAGAGTCGGCCACAACTGGACCTAATGGTCAGGGGTCCCTTTACCTTTACCTTTAAAGCGGGTATATCCAGGTGCAGCTCAGATTGGGGAGTTTGGGCACCATGTTTCTGTGCTGCTGATCCCACACAATCCGGGCACACAAAATTATTCATCCCTGGGGTGGTGCCCTACTGACCTGTGCTGGCTGCAAGGTTGCATGGCTGGAGACTTTCTTCCATGAGCAGAGGGCAGTATTTCACAGGGAAAGATCCCTGCTTCTAGTGCCAGAGAAATCTCTCCCAGTGTGGGGCAGAGGGCAGGGATGCACTGAAGAGAAATGAGCAGAATAGTTCAGGTTCTAGGACCCAGAGATGCCTGGCAGGAGACAGTGTGTCACAATGTGCTGGAGCTGGGAAGGCCCCTACCTGAGATGGAGGAAGAATGGCCTCAAGGAGTCAGGAGTAGAAAAGAGTTACGGTGGGAGGGAAGGCAGCAAACCTGTCCAGCACCCAGCTGCAAATTATTGGTTTGACTGCTACCCAATAGTATTATTGCCCTGCATTTTTTCTGCTGTGAATTCTGAAAAAAAAATAATTCAAGAAATTGACATATTTGCACATGGAGAGGGGATGCAGGGCTTCATCCCACTTAAAAATACAAAAACAAACTTCCTATCAAGAAGATGGGTTGCACCTGTTTCGGTTGAATAGCCACAAAGTTTTACCCATCCAAGTATAAGTGTTAAATAGCACAGCAAATCTAGGTTGAGTGTGGATTTCACCCAAAACTGCTGTTATGAATGACCACTCTGCTTGGTTTTTTTTATACCGAAGCTTCAGCAGAATTTTTGCAGACTGTACATTTTACATTTGATGACCAGTTGACCTCACTGTTTACAATTTCTTTTCCCTTTCTGTGCCTGTGTAACACACACATATCCTGGACTGCACACCTTGCAGAAATATTTCTGGAACTAGAGCTGTACCTAATAAATGTTCCGTATCCATAGTGTAAGGGCTATAGCTCAGCCGCAGAACATCTGTTCTGCATGCAGAAGACTCCAGGTTCAATATTTGGCATTTCTGGGTACTGCCAGAAACCCTGGAGAGCTGCTGATAGTCTGTGTCGACAGTACTGAACCAGATGAACACATGGCCCAAGTGTAAAGCAATGTGCTACACTCATATATCAACAAAGCAGAAGAGAGGAGAGTTGCCGTACAGGTTCAAAGCTGAAGCAGAGAGATGTGTAGAAAGAACAGCCCAAGGTCATCCAAGGTTCCCAGCTGAGCCAAGAGTTTGATCCCAAGTCTTTCCCTCCATACCGATCCCTTCATCCAGTTGACGGTGTTTGGCTGCGAGGCTCGGATTCCATCTGGCACCGCTGAATGATCAACAAGCCCATCCTCATCCTGTGGGTGCCCCGTCTGCTTTAGTTAAGAGAAGCTGCCTGGAGGCACACAGCCTGCCTTTCTCCCTCTTAATCAACCCTGGGCTGAGGGCCGTGGAGTGAAATCGAGGCGGATAGCAGCTTATTGCTCTTTAACTTTTCTATTACCAACCAAACTGCTTATGCCTCCAATAAAACAGCCACCGCAGCTGGTTAACAGCCTTCCCCCAAGAGGTGTGTGATTGCAGGCACAGGGCAATAGCTTCCGGAAGCCCTGGTAATGGAAGCAAAGAGGACTTGACATTTCCCCTAATGTGGCATAACCAGATGTTTCCCTTTGCCTCGTTTTATGCTTCTTCCAAATCATTTGCTTTGCAAAAAAAGAAGAAGCACATTTCTCTGTTTTCCCCTTGCATCTCACAAGCGCTCTGAACCATATCATCCTCTTGGATCTTCCATACCTGAGGTGGTCCCCTGACATCAGGTCCCCCAGATGAGTATAGGAACTAATGCTTTGAAGAAACCACTCAGTTCCCCTTGCTCAGAGCCTGGTGTCAGTGAGGTTCCCTGGGAGGCTGCCAAACTCCCCTTTCTCTCCTTTGATTTATTAATGGCAAATGAGCTATTATTAGGACTCATGGCTCTGGTCCCTCTGGAGAACGAGTCTTGTGGTAGCAGATTTGTTTCTGCAAATGCAACAGGAGCGCAGACTCAAATGACTGGCTGAATTGCCTTTAATCCTTCTTAGAGACTAATAATGGGGATGCAGTTGTGAGAGTTTTGCAACCAATCACAGAAAATCCTGCAATGAGGAAGTCCTGCAATTTTTAGATCAACCACTCCAACACATTATGCCTTGTCAATCTCTTATCTAAAGGTGGGCAGTTGAGAAAACTCATGTAATTTATGTCTGGGGAAGTGAAGTGATTTAAATCAGTTTTGGCTGGGGCCTGTTGGGAAGGCAAGGCGGGCAACAGTAGACAGAGCCAGAGCCAATGGCAGGCAGAGCCAACGAATTCTAGTTGTGTCCCCATCCCCATCCTGGCTGAGTTCTGCAAGGGGAAACACTGGGACTAAGGAGGAGGAGGAGGACCACCACATGTGGTGGTTGTGTAAAGTAATTAAGAAATTCTGGGAAATGATCTATAATGAACCAAAAAAACCCCAAACTTAAGAGAACATCTCCCAAGAAACCAGAAGCTTTCCTTCTGGCAATAGTAACAACAGAAGCCTCTCTCTCTGGACTTCTTGCACAAAAATGGGAAACAGAAGTAGTACCGACCAAAGAGGAACGGCACTTTAAGTTGTTGTAATATGCGAAGCTAGCAGGTCTGACTAGTAAGATAAGAGAACAAGACAAGTGAACAGTTTATTCATTTTGAACTGTATGTAAAAAAAGAATAAAAACGCGAATAAAAATTACTTTTTTTAAAAAAAGGAGGAGGAGGAGGAGCCTAACAGACAGTGCCACCCCCTGGACTGGGTAGCCAGCTGGGTGGCCAAATCATGGTTATACAGCAGGCATAGGCAAACTTGGCCCTCCAGATGTTTTGAGGCTACAATCCCCATCATCCCTGACCACTGGTCCTGTTAGCTAGGGATGATGGGAGTTGTAGTCCCAAAACAGCTGGAGGGCCGAGTTTGCCTATGCCTGTTATTCAGTGAAGCTTGGAAGATTGAGGACACACAATGCATTGTTAAACTATGGCACTTGCTCTGGTGGTCAACAACTCAGACTGCTTTAAAAGAGGATTGGACAAATGCATGGAAGAGAATTCTATCAATGGTTACTAGCCAGGATGGCAACACTGCCTCCATGCTCAGAGGAAGTAACAGGGGGCATAGTGGGAGGGGAGGCGAGCTGCCAGGTTGATGGCCCAAGGTGCCTTTTTGGGGCAGCACTGCTCACACTGCCCTGCCAGTCCTGTGCTGCTTTGCAAGTCTGGGATCTGATTTGAATGATTCTCCATGAGAATCATGCAGACCAGATTCTAGCATTGCAAAGCAGCCATGTGCTCTTTGATCCTGCCCTCGCTTCTCACGCCACCCTGCCAGCCCCAAGTCACTTTGTGAGCCTCAGTGGCAAGAGCTGGGCTGGTGTGGCAGGCTCCGTTCACCCTCCACCCCAGGTGCCAGCAAACCATGCTATGCTACTGGTCAGTAATGCTTCTGAACCCCAGTTGCGGGAAGCCACAGGAGGGGAGAGTGTTCTTGGGTCCTGTTTGTGGATGTCCCACAGGCATTTGGCTGCTCACTGTGGGAATAGGTTACTAGCCATTGGCCTGATCCAGCACCCTGTTTTATGTTCTTATTATTTGGGATCCTTGCACTTTATTACCATTTAATTTTCCTTTTGGAAAATGCATTCACCACTTGGAGGGCAGTTTTTCAGAAAGGATCAGTTTATCTACATTTTATCACCACTGTCACCACCTCTGTATCTTAAAAGCAAATCCAGTGGATGCTGGGCCACTTGTCCAATGTAACAGGCTCTTCTGATGTTGTTATGACTAGCTGTTAAGAAAAAGGCAGCCGGGGAGGTGGCAGGATGAGGCCCCATTCACCCCAATGCACCAGCCTCCACCGTTGCGCATATTCCCCGAATGATTTATATACGCATTTTCCTTTCTCTCCCCCTTTCAGGTTCCCCATTTCAAGGTTGCCCCCGAGGAATTCCTCAAGCTCCAGTTCCAGAGATTCACGACTTTGAACCTCCATCCCAGCAACACTGACATCAGCGTGGCTGTTGCTGGGATCCTGAATTTCTTTAACTGCACCACTGCCTGCCTCATCTGTGCCAAAGCTGAATGTAAGTTGCTTTGGAAGGCTGCCCACGGAGCCAAGCGTCCACCCTGTGGCATTCCAATTTGTAGAAATCGTCAAGACAGCGATGGTTGAGACCGGAGACAGAAAATCCCACCAACCCCTCATCCCATTCCTGGCAGCAAAAAACGCAATTGATTAAACAACTAATCATTTGCTCCTCTTTTGTAACTCCCAGAATCAGTGACCCGAGGAAGCCGCTTCACTCTACCTAAAGATAGGGCCGGCACACACCTTTGTGGCAAGGGCAGGTGGTGGCAGAAAAAGGAAGCAAAGCCTTATCATGGAAGCTAAATGAAATCTTTCCTCTTAAAGTCTCTGAAAATCTTTAAATGAAGCAAAGTGCCAGACTTTGTATGATGAAAGACAAACTGTGAAGCTTTGTGTATTCAGTAAATATGATGTCCAACACTGAACAGTGATTCCGGATATTGACTACTGTTTTGTAGAATTCTTCGTCAGCGTGGTGGGAAGATATAGAATTGCTTCATAAACCTGAAAATGAAGGTCATCATCTAAAAATTTTATGAAAAAAGAATATTTTCAGTTTATGAAGCTTCATTTAAAGATTTTCAGAGACTTTGAGACTAAAGATTTCATATTGTACTTGTTATGGTTTGAAGGAATTCTATAAAAGATTGTCTATTGCGTGCTGCCTAGATATTGCTGATGTTCTCTTTGCAACACAGGGGTTTGTTTGGTTACATATCATGGAAGCTGGCTTGCAGTCAAGGGAATTCTTATTGTGAACAAACCTACACTGAACTGATTCTCGTAATTTCAGAGCACATACATTTTTATGCAGAATTCAGATTTCGTTGCCTTTCATTTCGTCTCTTGTGAAAAGTATAAAGGGCTCTTCACACCATAACCAATGTGAAACAACAGAGCTTCACTTGCCCGCTCCCTTCCACTTACCACCCAATGTCTGCAACCTTCTGAAAATGAATAATAGTGTATGTGCATGTCTTCCTACATGTGTTCCCTGATACATTCAGGGGCCCTCTAGAGTGACTAGTGTATTAGTGTGAGTGCATTCTGCAAATATGGCCAAATTCACACAATATATCTAAAGCCCTAAGATACCACTTTAAACAGTCATGACTTCTCCCAAATCATTATGGGACCTGTAGTTTGTTTAGGGGGCTACAGGTTGTTGGCAGCCTCCCTCATACTCCTCCCAGGGCTACAATTCCCATAGTTCCCTATATAGAGGGATTGCTTGTTAAACTGCTCTGGGAACTGTAGCTCTGGGAGAGAAATAGGGGTGTCCTAACAATTCTCAGCAGCCTTAACAAACTACACTTCCCACTTCTTGGGGGGGAAGTCATGTCTGCTTATAGAACTTTAAATGTATGGTGTGAATGTGGCCATATTCTTGACCCAACAATAGTGCATTACTGGCAAATTTATTCTTCTTCAGTTGCTTCTGGGATTCTTCCCCAATGCTATCACACTATTGCTGTCTGGAGGGGCTACGGTGCGACACAATATACCAGAACATTTGTGGTATAATATAAGTACAGGATTTCAGCAGGAAGCTACAAGATATGCACTGAGAGGAGATGAAGTAGTGCCATTGCCCCAAAATTTTTGCAGGCACAAACAGCATTGAAAGTGGAATGAATTTATGCACACTCTGCAGGTTGATCGCTGCGTGTATAAATTTATTCTCTGCGTACATGCACTTATGTGCTAACCCACAGGTGTTGCACACTGGAAGGGTGTAGAATGCAAGTGGTGTACACAGATGCCTGGCACTGTTCTGTCCCTGGTTAATTTGATCCTTCATTTAACAGGATCAAAAAAGCTCAGGAACCAAATCGCTTTTACAATAGCATGGCACCCAGCCGTCCATTGAGTCAGGTTCGATTGCTTTAATCAGGTGCGATTGGATGAACCGGTTGCTGACTGGGGTGCAGTGGTGTGGAAGAGGGAAAAGACCCTTCACAGATAAAACTGTGGTGCTGCCCTGCAAGCCTTGATCATGGGCAGCCTTGGGGATGCCCCGTCTTCCAAGGCACAAGGGAGAAAGAGCTGCAGATCAGCTTCCTTTTTTTCTTTTCAAATCTTTCTTTCTCTGAAGGAGGAGTGGAAATTCAGCACTGAATGAAGACACCTCTGTATGCAATGAGAACTCAGTTGAGACAGGGACGGACTCCATTCCCCCCCCCCCTTCTCTAATGTGGGCAAGATGGAGTTGATGATTTATGGCTGCTTGTCAACCTTAAGGGGGAAAAATAGGAGGGAGTTTTGTGGGTTAATGGCAGAGTGGCAAAATTAAGCTGTGTTGTGCGAGCTCTGAAGCCAGGGAAACAAGGGTAATCCTTCAAGGCTGAGATTCTGTGGGATTCCAGGAGGAGATGGAGCAGGGGAGGGTCACGAGCAGGCCTCCGACTCAGATGTTGCCTCCACTGTTTCCCTCCTCACAGGGAGAAATGAGCCATGATTTCCCACATCTGTTTAAAAATGGTTTCTCGCTGATCCTAGGGGATATAAAGCCTGCTTTAAAGTTCCCCGTCTTCGCTTTTCCCCATGGTGGTGCAGGGGAGTGCAGAGTCCTAAAACTTCTTTGCAATCTCTCAGGAGACCCATGAGAATCCCAGGAGTCAATTGACAGAATATATGCTCAATGACATAAAATATGCTAGGGGACAAGAACTTGTTGAACTAACAATTTGAACTGGAATACAAGAAGGGGAGGGGTGGGGAAGTCAGGGAAATATGTCATTGAAAATAAGGACTGTAAATTTTATGTGTTTTTAACTCTTTTTTCTCTTTTTTATTTCTTTTTTAATGTATTGTGGAAAATCTTAATAAATATCTTTTTTAAAAAAATGACATAAAATATGCTGTGCACACAAGACAGTCCAGCAGGGTTCAATCTCCAGCAGGGCTGGGTGGGAGAGTCTTCCTGAGATTAAGGTGAGCTACTGCCAATCAGAGTAGATCATGCTGGTCTTGATCCTAGCTGTCAACGTTTCCCTTTTTTTAAGGGAAATTCCCTTATTCTGAATAGGATTCCTCGCAAGAAAAGGGAAAAGTTGACAGCCATGGTCTTGATGGGAGAATGGTCTGATATAATACAATGCAGCTTCAGACATTCAGATGATGCCTGCTTTTCCCCCAGCACATTTCTGGAAACCTTATGGGCTAGGAACATGACTGTTGGTTTGTTAAAGAAAGACAAGAATCTCAGGATGCCAGTTTCCAAGTCAGCACTGTGCAATTGAAGGTTCATGGGATAGCCAAAAGTGTTACCACGCATTCTTCAAGCCATAGGAGCCAACTCCTAGGGGCCGATGTCCCTTCAGCTGCCCCCAATAACAATTTGAAGGGGTTGCCCCCCAAAAAAGTTAATTTGCATTGCCATTCAAGTGCCACATTTTGTGATTGATTATGTGGGGTGGGGCTTACCTGGCCCCCACCAATATTCAAGTTAGCACCCCTGCTCCAAGCCTTATGTCCAGGTCTGCCTCTGTGTTGTGGGAGCACAGATAATTTTGCCTGAGCATCCCAGCTTTGATTTGCATTTTAAAAAAACATCAAGTCACTGCCCCATATTGATTGTGAAGGTAGGCTTACAAACAAGTGGGCCATGCATCTGTTCAAATCTCAGAAACCAGAGGGATGAATGAATAAATTTACCAGCGGCTGGGGCCTGAGCTTGAGTGCCCTACATAACGCTTCCCCATGAGAAAATCTGCATAATGTATACTGGTTGTAGAATTTAGCTTTCTCTGAGTGTGTAATTTGGGGGTTTGAGTGGAAGCAGAGGGTATACCTGACAGTGACCTAGCCCAGTTCTTTGCCCAAGAGGCCTTATTTCCCATCAGACAACTAAACAGACTGCCGCTCGCAGCAGAGGAATGACTCTAATGCAGCCCACGTCTGATTCTGCCTCTCCCTTCCTTGGTGGTCCTCGTTTATGTACTTCAAAGTTTCAGGGAGGTTCCTACAAGACCCGGCTCATGTTCAGCCTGTAAAACAGGCCCTTGAAAGAGCATCCTTCTGTTGGCGACAAGTGCTTCAGAGCCTCGTGTTAGCAGAACAGAAGGAAATCTCTTTGGATAGGAACAGGCCCCTCTCTTTCCTTGTAGAGACTAGGAGCCCTGAAGGATACAGCTGTCAGAGAAGACAGTAGTCTGGGGTGAAGGCGTTGGAGGTAGGAGAGGAGGGCCCAGAATATAATATTATAAAATCATGCATGATTTGGCGGTGAGAAGTGAGGTTACAGGGAACCAGGAAGAGGGCCTTCTCCATAGTCGTGCCCGCCCTGTGGATCACCCTCCCATTAGATGTGGGAGATGTGGGAAATATGGGAAATAATAATAATAATAATAATAATAATAATAATAATAATAATAATTTTATTTATATCCTGCCCTCCCCAGCCGAAGCCGGGCTCACAGTGGCTAACAACAATAAAAGTAACACAGTTTACATAAAATCAATTAATTGAAATGCATTCTAAAATCAAATTAATGGCAACCATAGGGCTAGAGTTCTGTGAGGATTACCGAAGGAGGGGGTCAGACTGTGCCTTGGCCAAAGGCCTGGTGGAACAGCTCTGTCTTGCAGGCCCTGCGGAAAGATGTCAAGTCTTGCAGGGCCCTAGTCTCTTGTGACAGAGCGTTCCACCAGATCGGGGCCACTATCTGGCTTTTAGAAGACCTCTGAAGACAGCCCTTTTACCCAATCAGAAGGAAAGCATATAAATATTAATAATCTGGGGTTCTCTGGATGCACCCCAACATAAAGAGATTTAGGACCTAGTTACCACTCTAACTAAGCATGCTCTGTCCTTATTTCTTGCATTTGTAACCCACCTTTCCTCCTAGGAGCTTTTAAGTCAGTATACATGACTTTCCCCCCACACCCCATTTTATCCGCACAACAGCATTGTGAGGTAGGTTAGGCTGAAGTAGAAGAGTCATAGAATTGTAGAGTTGGGTGGAACCATTAGGATCATCAAGTCCAACCTCC